CTACAGAATTAAAACCTCTCATTTTACTGCCAGAATACTTCACGTCAATATAACATCTTAGTTATTTAAAAAATTAACTAAATCCAAGCACTCAAAACTATTTCCTCTAAGAAAACTGTTGTCCAACTAAAAGGGTGAATTGTGAGGCAGGTTTAGTGACAGGAAATTGGGAGGGTGGGCAGGACCACAATCAGGTAGAAGGGGTTGGATAAGCCTCAAATTTAATTCAACACATCCAAACTCCGTTAAAATAATAAAGAAGTCAAAAGCAAACTAAATCCAGAAAAATCCACATTTTCTCTCCAAACTCTCTCCAGAGTCTTTCTTGTACGTAAACTGCACAGTTAGAGCAAGTGTCTGCTGGTACTCTGCTGTTAATTGTGGATTATGACCAATACTAAGCTCAGCAACCACCACAGAAAAAGGAACTTTCACATAGCACATTAGGATTTCTGCTTCTTTTATGTAAGAGGAAAACCTGGGGGAAGGGGCTATTTGACTTTATTTCATTTTAATAGCACTCACACATGAAATTTCTCTATCTTCTTTCCAACTTTCCAGTTCTTCAAGCATTTACATGCATTAATTTTCTCCTACTCACTTCTCTGTCAAAACCATATTGCCATTTACTCTAACTTTCTAGTTGTTTGCTCAGAAATTGCTTTGGGCCAGAGTTTGGGAAATGACTGAGCAGACTTGAAGACCTGGGATGCAACCACCTATTGCTGATTTCAGTGGCAATTGCATGTTTGCAACTAATGCCATCAGGCATGTGTCTACCTAAGCACTGCTAAGTTTTTTGACGCTAATACCAATTCCAAATTTTCATCAATCTAAATAATAAAGACTAAATACATGACATCATATTCCAATTTGAAACAAAGTCTACCTTGTTATCTCAATAAAAATCATATTGCACTCTGATGTAGAAAGACGTGAACTGGTCCAAAGCCCACTAATACAAATGAAGGAATTGTGCATTTTCCCCACATGGCTGTGCTCATTTCACTACTCATGACTTTTCATTAACATCATTTTTTTCCATGTTTGCATGTTTCACGGGCAATATGGAAATGATGATTATTCACAGGCTCAGTGCAGCCCTGACTTCCATGTGCCAAATACTCATTGAGGTGAACGGGTATTTTCTTTTCTGCAGATCACTTTAATTTGGGCAGAAGACAACAGCTAGAAATACATTTTGTGTAGCAGTAAGTTGCTAAACTTCCTAAGACTATAAAGATCAACAAACTTACAAAGTGCCATTGATTCTCAATAAAACAATCTGAAAGGTGGCCATTCAATCATACTCATTTATTTTTAGTGTACTATTACTGCAAGTGATGCTATTACTAGTATCAATGTTATATTAAGGGATTAAAATATTACACCTATATATAGCCTAACATTATGGTTTTGAGAAATTATAATGGGTGTTAAGGCACTTGGTAATCAATGAAAAGAACTAGTATAAAATGTGCTTTGCTCATGTATACCTCAGGTTTTAAGATGTCATTGTATTGTCATCTGGGAACATTGCCACACAAAGACCTATTACACTCACAGTAGCTTCTTCCTACTTCTTCCTATACTTCCTAACCCTCCTATTCTTCCTCTTATTCTTTCACTTCCAATTTATTCCTTGAGGAAAATCTCCTCCAGTTAATGAAAGGACCCCTAGTGAGTTTGCTTGTAACTGGATGGATCCCATAAACCTGATTTACTGGAGCATTAAAATTTCACAAGATTGATATTACATGCGGATGAGAAGAAATATATGAAATGTTCGCAAATGCAAAAATGCATAAACAAGCAGGTATTACAGAAAAAATGCATTTCCTATAGGAAAATGAAAGATACCATTGGCTCCTGAAGGCCTTGGAGGAAACCCTGAATTTGAATGGCGTTAGCGAACTAAGTTGAGAAAATGCCAGAAAAATCCCTATTACAGGCACGTAAGTGCAGACAAACACTAAGAAATCTCCTGGAGAAATGGCAAGCCAGAGACATTCTCAACATCCATTCGCAGAAGAAAACAAAATTCCTTGTGCAGAGTTTCAGGTTTGGAAAAAAACCCCAATGACTTTAGACTAAAATGTATTCGGCTAAAAATTCCAGAGTACCTTTGTTTTGTAGCACTGCTTCAACAGAAAAAAAATATTAAATAAAACAAAACACAAAGAGAGAAAGGGATTTGAAGAGCAAATCTGGCAGCAACTCTATTTCAGGAAAAATCTTTCAATGGCGTTTTGTCATCGTTAATTTATTTGTTCATAGAGTCCAATTACAGTACAGGTAAGCATATCCACCTCAGGTCATAGACCTTAGTCATAAAAAGTATATATGCCTAGTGGAATCAGAATATCAGAAAAATTTTATTCCCTGACTTATGTGAAAATTATTTACATGAACAGTATTTGCATGAAGCTTAACAAGGCCACTCAAATGAGGAAGATTAATATAGATCAGCTCTAGAAATCCTCTGGATTGCCTTAGCTGGTGAGACTGCATGACAAAAGTTCTTTAAAGAACAACAAACCACTTGATAATTTTCAAAGAACAATATAATAAAGACAACTATATCAATCAAAAAGATGGAGTTACCAGTCCCAACATTTCTACTGTCATGAAGACAGTGGAAAGTATAGCAGCCAAATAAAAAAGGGTAATCCCACACTCAATGGAAAATGAGTTGCCCACAGCAGGCAAAACAAGATGACTCATTGATACAGTTTGAAATTCTCAGCTTCCCTAGTGCTTTCATTTCAGAGTGAAGGTTATTTATATAGTTATTTTTTCTAGCATTACATATGGATAATGAGAATTCCTCTTACTTAACTGTACCTTTCAAAGGACAGAGAAGTAATTTTCCCACAAGCACGCCGCAATAACTCTTTGGCCTGACATTTACTTTTTTCGATCTCAGCTGGCACAAAGAACTGTGATTTTTAAACAACTTTTTGTTTTACTAGGCAGTGCACCAAGGATTCAATCCAGAGAGGGACTTAGTATCAAAAAACAGAACACCTACGTTCAAGCGCTTGGAGCTGAAATGGAAATTAGACCCAATGGTGAATGTCTAGGCAAGGCACTTCAGAGCAGTTTCCAAAGCAACTCTCACTCTCAGCAGGGAGGTCAGTGGACAAGCCAGTAAGAAATGCTGCAAAGACAGATGTAACAGTCTTGTGCCTTTCAGGGGCACCTCATTTGGTGCTCAAGGGCATCTTGCCATTCTGGAATCACAGCTGAGACTCTCCCAGAAAAAGTATGCAGCTTTCAAGTCTCTAGTGTTGGAAACTCTTGGCTTTTTTCTTTCAAAACACATGCTGCAGAAGTAGTAACCACCTAACATATTTCCACTTTATTTCCTCTTTCTTCTTACGAGGTGTCAGTCCACATGTTCCACCTCTAGAGAGTGCCATAATACTAAATACTCTTGGGGAAAAACTGGACATTGCTTCTTGTAGCCTTAACCACTTCCCTACTGAATTGTGCTGTTGTTTGCTTGTCCTTTGCTTTTAATTATTTCCTATATAATAGGAAATTATACAAATCTAGGTGAGGCATGAGCATGCCATCTTCACATTTGTCAATAGTCCATAATTTGGTGATTAGAAAAAGGTCCTGAAACATAAGGAGGGAATTACGTTTGATTCTCCCAGAGGTGATATTTAATTGAGGTCAGTTCAAGTGATAATGTATTGCATGTGTAGACCATTGCTGAGCATCTGCATGAAGATCAAATATTGTGGCAAGTCTCATTTGCAGAGGCATAGTGCCATTTCTCTTGGGATCACACTAAAATATACTGAGCAGCAATGGTAGACTAGAGAAGCTTCATATCTAGTCAGTAAATTATATGAAGTTACTGAAAACACTGTTCATTTTTAACAGTGCTTAAAAAATGAGACTGACATAGTACGTTAAGTAATCTTGAGCCAGGTCATGCAGAGTCTGCAGGGCATTTAGAAAACGCTTTGGGCAGGGAGAGCTGAATTTGTCTGCACTAGACCTGACATTAATTCAGGATAAAAGGGAAAATCAAGTAGAACCTGTGAAATTATTAAAATTTCTATTCTTTGTATTTGTAATTGCTGATAAAATCCAAAACCCTTGTTCTCTCATGCTCCAATCTTTCATCAGTCACAGCAAAAATGTGCCATAAGCCTGAAGCCTGTCTGTAAGACTGAAATTGCAGGTTGGAAATTATAACTATGGTTACTATACCTGTGTTTATAGTAAAGTTTATAGTAAACATAGCTATAATTTCCAACCTGCAATTTCAGTCTTACAGACATACATCATAATGCTAAAAGGTTTAGATTTTTAAAAAGTATTCTTCATGTCATTACTGCTGCTGCATATTCAAATTAAACAAGTGAACTCAAAGTATGTTACTAATTTTATGTACAAACTTCAAGACAGTGTATCATGTATGCATAAAAAAGACACATGAAATATTACTCTTTCTTTGTTATACATTAGTCTAACAATGTTTAGCAATGTTTTACAGAGAGATGTACACTAAAGACATGCAAGTATGATTTGCCATGGCTTTTATCTTCTGTCACTAAATGTAGGTTTGTAATCTGAATATAGGTAGTATTTTTTCTTCCTTCTCAAACCAGAAGACATAAAATACTGCGTTTTCTCCAGACACACATTCCTTTTTTACAGTAAGATTTAGCAAAGATAAAAAATCCCAATCCTTTAACAGAATATTAAAGTAGCCTTGCTGAACTGGATTATGTATTTGCTAAACTGTGACTGGTTTTAGGACTTTTGACATTCTAATTCAAGTATCACAGGAAAACATGCAAAATCTTTAATTTTGAAAATCTCTGTGGAAAGGAAGGTTTCATGGATTCTGAAGCTAATTTTTCATAGAGAATTCTTAAATTCATTCACAGGTTTAATAATTATTCCCTAAAACGTCACTGTCACTTATCCACTAGATGCTTTTCTGAGATTAGTTAAAAGGCTTTACCTCAAATGCTTGAAAGGTTAATCCTACATTGTAGTTTTCTGACACTGTTATTTTCCACACACATTCCTTCATTGGCCTGTAGTCATCAGGATAATTGGGAGACTGGATCTGGCCTTCGTTTTTGTGGATTTCACCTCCACAGATAGCTGATAAAAGCATAAAATTTTTACTTTCAATAATGACATTTTCTGTTCCCCATGCCCAAACTGACATTACGTGTTCCCATTCTGAAAGCTAATTATAAGACTGTTCTGGAAAATACTTAAATATACCAAGGACAGATTGTTGAAAACACAATCCATTTAAATCACTATATGTATTTCAGTTAGAAAATATAATTCAGCATTCCTAATAGCTCTAAACATGGGTACAGTGTTCAGGAGGACTTAGTAATCATGGATAATCTCAATTTACACATAATACAGAATATATTTAAAAGGTCAAAATAATTAAATTTTACTTTTTGTTCACCTAGAAGTCTATTTCACAAACCTCCTTTATTAATATTTACTAAGCTTTAGAAAGAGACAGATGAAACCAAAATCACATATGTTATAATGGTCTATGCAGTTTAACCTACAATTTATCATTTCAAGTTTATTTTGAATTTGAAGAAACAGCTAATATAAAGAAAAAAATATTCCCATGAAAAGCACTTTTCAGGGTCTATTCTGATAATCGTGTAAAGATCTACAAATATCAGCTAAACCATACACTTTACTACCACAGTTTCAATACTTAAGAAAATAGGCTCTATTTTAAACAGGTGCATGTTGACTTGCTAATATACTCAGTGTGTGGGCGTGCCTCTGTTAACTAATCCCAGAGCATATGGAATATATAAGTCAGATTTTTCTGAAGAATAAACAGAAAGTACTGAAAAGATATTTTTCCAAACACTAAGCACAAGAACATGCGCATTTAGTTAAACCACTGGCAAAAAATTTAATATTAATATTACCAGTAGTTCCCCTTGAAAAGGGCTCAGCCAAAATCCGATCACAGGAGGAGTTTCAAAACATCCTAAGTAAGTTAGCACCTACTGTCTCTTAGTAATAAAATGCCAATTTCGTATTAAGGTTGGTTTTGCGCTGGTGGTGGTTGGGGCTTTTTTTAATATCCAAAGGTATCCGTTTAATATTTTTCCTCCATAATCAAGTCATTTTTTAATGCTGTAAGAGGCTTACCTTCATAAATTGCTGCAAAACCTTTCCCAACCCAGTTGCTGCTGCTGCGGAACTCGATCCACATCCTGCTGTCTGAGGATGCGAGGACTTCTGGCAGTTTGTCACCACAAAACCTGCCTGAAAACATGCAATCAGTAACGGCATTTTCTGCCACCTCTGAAGCCAAATGCTGCAAACATTTATACAAGTGTTTAACATTATAAACAGAAGTAGCAGAACTAACTCAGTGGAACTATTCATGCACTTATGGTTAAGCACATGTGTTTCTGCAGATCAGGGCCTAATACACAAAGATTTTTTATAAAGCTTTCAGTACTTCATTTCATTGCAGTCAGGCTCACAAGTCTAAGCATAAAACCTTCAGAGAATTAAGAAAATAATTATTGTTAGAGATTGTTTCTATACATACAAACACATGTATTTTAGTAGGGGAAAGGGAGTACTAATCTTAAGAGAAGAACACAATCTAGGTCACAGTAATACTGCTCATTTTGTCTAAGGACCTAAGAGATTTAAAAACTAAGATCCTAATGTCCCTAGACTACATTATCCTCTTAAATTCTGCATAGGTAGGTGAAATTTCTGTTTGCCTAGGTGATAGGGAAAAGGAGAAAAGGATAATTACTGTCCGATCTTAATTGTTTCTTCCTTCTTTTCTGTTCAAGGCCAAGAAAGGACATAGTCTTAAACTGCACCAGGGGAGGTTTAGGTTGGACATTAGGAGGAATTTCTTCACAGAAACGGTGATTAGACATTGGAATGGACTGCCCAGGGAGGTGGTAGAGTTATCGCCCCAGAAGTGTTTAAGGAAAAACTTGGCACGGCACTTAGTGCCATGGTCTAGTTGACATAGTGGCGTTAGGTCATAGGTTGGACTTGATGATCCCAGAGGTCTTTTCCAATTGAATTGATTCTGTGAAAATAAACATTCCTGTTAAAAAGCTGTCTTCTGCATCTACTTCCTTTTCTTTCTTATTTTTGCTAGTTTTAGACTGTGGTCATTAGGATGCTAACAAGGAGTCTCAGTCTTCAATCTTAAAACAACAAAACTGACGCAAGAAGTTGGAGGCATTCATGTTTCCTATGGTCCAAAATCCCCCATTTCCATCAGAGGAGATCAGGGGATGTCAAACCAAGTCTCTGGACTGGGTAGTGGCATTACACAGGGTGAAATCTCCCAATGAACCTTCTGAATTAAGAATAGGATGGCTGCAGGTTTCACATATCAGTTCCAACTCAAACTTAATTCATTATTGTTTTGCATGTCTTTTCTCTGCAAGAGCAGGGAAGGATACACAAAGAAGAAATAGAAGCAATCCTCTATTAATAATTTTAAAAGTACAGGAACAGAGCTCATAAGTACAACTCTAAAGCAGGTGCTCTCATCCACAGTGTATGTGCTCATCATGTGTTCTATGGATTTCCCATCATATGATATACAGATTTGTCTGGAGTTTCCCCATTTCCATGAACAAAACTCTGGCTGCTTCATATTTCAATATCTATAAGCAAAGCAAAAAGTTACACTTTAAGTAGTTTTTATCTTTCCACACATGCAGCTGAGTAATGGCCAGCTGTAGTGAAAGGAAGGCTTGAGGCTTCAAGTCAAATAGATTACTTATTTGAGGCCATTTAGAGTTTTTTTCCCATCCAAGTTTAGATGCATTCTAGACACCTAAAAACCAAGAGATTTGTTGTGGGTTCAACAGCAAGCATGTCCACTGAGCCCAGTGAGTATGGTAACAACGGGCAGTGCAGCATTTAACAGTTGCCTACCAAGCAGAGGGGATTTTCTCCAGTAGCCATCTCTTACTTCAATATAGTCGTACCAACAGAGACTGCTCTTGTAAAGGTCCATGGTGGTGAAGTTTAAAACAATCTGCAATCAGAGGAGAATGTATACATAAATGAACTGTGGTTAGTATTAGAAAAACAATGACAACAATATTTTGCAGGACTGAAGCCAGAATGGTCACCTGTATCAGGATGCCAACTATTTAGACAATTAACCTCTCCTCAATTATTTCTTCTAGTAGTAAAAGGTGCCTGAGAACATGAAAAGCTTTTTTTATTTAATTTTACTTATTTGAGCAGATGTGAGATAGAGTACTCACATTTAATTGCTCACAGGGAGATTTTCACTGAGAAATAAAAATTTGAGAATGCTAATTGGGCAAAATAATTTCCTAATATGATTTTAAGTATGTTATTTGATAATTCTGGTGACAATTCCTTTTCCATTCCACTCTGAGTATAATCAGCACTGACAGCTGTAAAAAAAATAAATCATTGTTTTATTTTAGTTTGTGCTTCCTTCTACTACTGTTTTGACATGATATTTTACTTTCAGACACATAAATATTGACAATGGTGGACAGTAAAGCTGAAAGCAAGATCACTAAAAAGAACTGGTACACAGTCCCTTAATGATTCTTAATGAAATGATAATAAAGCTTTTTATACAGAAATTTGAGTTCTGTGCCTTTCTGGAACTTTTTAACTTGGACTCTCAATTTTATTGAAAACATCTGTAAACAGATATACTTTTAATACTTAATATGAGGATAACCCTTACATTAAATTACATTATCCCTGAGTTTTAGAAATACTAATCCTAAACGGCCACAAACTTACACTTTCAACACAGGAATAGGATTCATTCTGATCACAGGATGACACAATAGCTATAGTTTAGACTGACTGGGACAGTCTTAGCATCATGCTCTGCAATTTCAGGGATAAGTCCAAGCAAGAAGATTAAAAATCATTCATACTTTGTATGATAAAATCATTTCCAATTAATACCTTTTCATTGGATTTAGGCATATTTGGAAAAGAATTCATCTTCTTCAGACTCGGTTCCCCAGTGTACATAAATAAATACTTGAACCTAACTAAAATTCTTCTCTATTCATAGTCTAGCATAGAACTGGTTTTATTTTTAGCTTTGATCCTAGGAACTCACAATTGAAACCTGCCATTGTAAAACAAACATGTATTGCTGCACAGGAGCAAATACCTCACACTGCAAAAATATATCTCCATGGCAGCCTATGAAGCAGCTGTGAGTGTCAGTTGAAAAGGGAGGAATTTACCCTTAGTCCAGCTGCAAGGAAAACAATATAACACCATAACTGGAACAATGAACCCAGACAGTCAGACAGGATGGTTTACTTCCATCTCTCAAACTTCTTCTAGGTTATGTGCAAACTTTCACAGATATCGAACACACAGGACATTTTGCCTTTACCATTCAGGCAGTCTTTCAGGAACACACACTAATGAAATAAACACACAAATATTATCAGAATTCTAAACCCACCTACTTACCATGTAATTCTCCACGAGAAATATGCAGATCTGGCTAAAAGTAGTTATTCATATGCTTTATTCTGCTTCAGCTTTTTATTACCTTTCCAAGTGCTATTTGAATCTACCTTGAAGGATGCCAAAGAGGTCCCGCAATATTCTCTCATTCACA